TGAGAGCCCCACTCGCTCTGTCAGTTTCGGGAACGTTGTCTAAAACTAAACGTGAGTTAGACCACCATTTGGTTAAACGAACCCCTCTTTCTCCAGTTGATACTTTAGCTACATTACGTGTTGCGAGGCCTCTCTTGCGTCGTCAAAGTTTCAAGTCGTCGACGTAGAAATTATTCGCAACTCTAGTTGACACCGAGCCCGGGAAGTTGTTTCCGTATTGCGAAGCTATCCGCCGAAGTGCGAAGTTCGCGCAGAAGGCCGAAGAAACCGCTCCGAATAAATGAACTGTCAGTTCATAGTCTACCGCGGGGTTCTGCAAGTAACCATCGGGCCACCATAGCAATCGCAGGGCGTTGTGCTGATCCTCTGGTATCTTAATTTGGAGAAACATCTCTTGTATGTCGGCTGCCACTGCCACTGCTCCTAGCCGGAGTCGGTTGAGCACATCAGACAAGGAAGTGGTCCAGTCCGGTCCCTGCAACAGACAATCGTTAAGGGAGAGACCGCCGTACCGCGCCGCACAGTCGAATACCAAGCGCATCTTCCCTGGCTTTCTGGGATTTGTTACCGACTGGTGTGGCAAGTACCGCAGTCTTTACCCGCGTGGTTGTGAGACGCCCACCCGTTTTATGTATCGCAGTTGAACGTTCCGTTGCATTGCCGCGGCGTATTGTCGACGGAGATCCTTGTCTCGAATCAGTCGCCATTTAAGGTAATATAACCTTTTTAAGGCTATCTCGTGATTGTTCGGCAATCGGTCGTATCCCGTTCTCCATGGCAACGGCACCTCGAACCGGTCGGGCTGGCTTCGTGTCCCTGTTCCGACCGTTGCTAACGCCTGGTTGTCTTCTACGGAAGGGTCCCCTTTCTGGTCGTTCAAGTTGTCGAACTCATTATCATACATCCTTTGGAGAGTTTGTTTGATCGTATCGTTGTTAGCGTTGGTGGTGGTGAAGTTAACTGATAACGGTTTACGATTTGTCGCGTGAGGCGGTCCAAACAACGTCCACCCGAACATGTTGCGAGCAGCATATGGTTCTTTCCTGTCGCCCAGTCTCTGATCCAGAGCCCAGTGTGCTTCGGGCACGTCACACCCTATTATCAAATGGACTTCAGGATAGTCGGCTTCTTGGAACACAAGTCTCATAGTTGCGGCCAGCGTGTTGCTAATTTCCCGATCGATTCCACTGCTCGCATCGGAAAGTCGGCGATGGTGAAAGCTTCCGTCACCTCTACCCGTTCACCATTATCTAGCGAAATCAACGTCACGTTTGCTTGATCGGCGGACGTCGCCTTGGTGCCGTTCACCGTGCTAATCGTCAGGGGAGATGGTCGAGTTGTGATTTCGTGGTTTACGGTGAAGCGTTTGGTGATCAAAGTAGTATCGGATCCATTATCAATGAACGCCATCGCCTTCACCAGCCCCTGGGAGTTAATATGCCCACTGGTGTTACCCCGAGCCATACCTGCTTTTCCGCCGATTGAGATATTAGGGATACGCTGGGTTTTTGGGGTGCCGGTAACTGAATTTCTCTCATAGAATGCAAGAGAGTATGATGGCTTCCTTGACACCCTGTTTTCCTGCATCTGCCACGGTTCCTACAAGCGACCGCACGATGTGAGCCGTTCAAACAGATAAAGCATGGCTCGTGCCTCTTGGCTGCTTCCCAAAGGTCCTGAACTCCTAGTTGCACAAATTTCTCACACGCGGATAACTTGTGATTTAAACGACACATGGGACATCTGGGCGTGCCACGTTCCCCTACTGTCGCATATTTGTTCGCGTTCCTTGAACCTCTCGGAATCTCATAGGTTCGTTCTTTAGTGTGCTGTTTCTCTTCTCGTCCACTCATACTGGCGAGTTGTACAAAGCGACTGTTAGCGACCTTGGCGCGGTTTGGGATGAATTCCGTTAGCTCGGTGAAATTTGGTTCCCTCCATAAACGGCCAATAACCACCGCCTCCTCCGCCCATCGCTGCTGTATTTCAGCCGGCAGGCATCGTACTATTGCCTCTAGGGTGTGTAGTGCGTTTAAATCAGCTTCGTAATTCATTCAAGTCAGGATAATGAAACAGTTTTGCATCTTCATTACCAGTTTCCCCAATGATTCGGGCTCATTTTTCGCTTTACGGGCCTCGGTTATCACCCCGTCTATGAGTGTCCGTACTACGTGAAGCGGTTGGCCAAACAGTTCCTTCAGAATGTCCCTTGATCGGCTATGCCCAATTTCGTTTGGCAGCATTACACATTCTACGATAGCGTCCCGGACCTTCCCGCGGCAGTACTGATTTCGATACAGGAATTGCTGCCCTGGATCGGCGACCCGACACTCGACGAAATTATCAAAATCTCTAATAAATCCCCAATAGTTGCTGGGGATGCTGAATGGCGTTAGCTCTACCCTAGGCAGGTCTATCGACATGTGGCGGTACATTACTTCAATTGATGGTTGAGCCACTTCCGGCGTCAGTCTAATGGGCAGCGTTTGTTTTTCCGTCGCGGCGTGCTTAGTCGAGCAAAGTGGCCTAGCCTCTGATCCACAAGCTTAATTGACCTAATCTCCTGCTCTAACTCTACAATCTTAAGGAGATATATCTCAGACATCTTAACATCAGCATCGCAATCTAGGGCACATAAATTCCTAGCACTACAGTAATAACTGAGTTAAAAATGTGAAAATCAGAACCCCCTCCCAGATTCCCCAGTGACCTGCCGGGTAACTTCCTGTCCTTCCTCCTCAATCCTTCATTGTTCAAACGACATTCTCTTGTCACAAATTGTGCGAAATTTCAGTACTCTTTCTTTCAAAAAGAGATGAGCGAGTAACGCGTAGTGGACGTCGGATCCCAAAACCTCAACAGAACGAACAACCCAGCAAATTTCTACGGTACTGCATTATTAGACGATCAAATAAGCAAATAAATATGTACAAACCTCAAAGTGATCTCGAAACAACTTGAAAACAAGAACCAAGTGTTACCGTGAGCGTAATTCAACAAATCTGAACGGGAGAAAACAAGCCTGGATAAGAACAGCACGCTCNCCGTCACGCTGCACACGAACGAGCCAAATGTGAGCGCTCAGGTCGCGAATAAAACAAGTAAGGTACGAATGAAGCAGAAAAACAAAAACAAAGTCAAATGACAGAATCGATGTGTAAATATACGAAGGGAGTGGAATGTCAAATGTTTATGTATGTGTGAGGCGGATCGTGTTGAGTGAATGGAACGTGGAATGCACGAAATGTGGAACCGAGATAGATTGACTGTGCTTTACAGGAAGATTTATACAGATCGATCAATACAACGGGGCACAAGCTCGGGAGTGAATCTCGAGGAGCCACCCTCCCTTAGTGAAATTCCGAACACTATGAGAGGTGTCCCGCTGTAGATTGCATACGCAAACGCGTGTAGCGAGGAAAACAAATGGTCCGAGTTTAGAGTGGAGATAAGGGGAATGTGATGTTGTGGCTATCACGGATACCTGGCTCCGGCCAGGAATAGACATCAAGCACCACTGCCCACCAGCCCTCTGCACCGATATGACTGATGGCAGGATAGTTTAGGGGACCGTCATACTAGTGGCACAGCACCTAAACCAGAGTCAGAGGGGCGAACTCACGATGTCAACACCAAACGTCCAGGTTTCTGGCTGTGGTGAGCGTCAAGCACACCAGACTGCTGATAGTTTGCGTATAGGGGAGCTCCTCATCCATGGCCAACGAGGATGATGCGTTGCTACTCACGCTACGAACGGCCGCTCGGCACAACGGGAAACTACCGATCCTCGGGGATTTCAACACCCCAGAGATAAACTGGAGTGAAGAAAGTGCTCCGTCGTTGTCCTTCGGCTTTGCGATACTGAACCTGCTGCAAGATGAAGTCCTCTCGCAACACGTAAGGGAAGACACGCGGTGGCGCGATGGTAGTAGACCCCTCAGATTGGACCTTGTACTCACGACGGGAGCAAACGATCTGGGGAGTATTCAAATAATGGCCCCAATGGGTGAAAGTAACCATGCTCTGCTTCACATTACCATGTCTCTCCGAGGGTCGACCGCGCCCGATAAGGAGAGGAGAAACTATGGCGGGATGAACTTAGCGCAGCTCCTAAGTGGTGCAAATGACATGACATGGGAAATGGACCCCAGCGAGCCTCTGGATGACAGCTGGAATCCAGTGGAGTCCAATTTATTACACCTTTCAAATACTTATGCACCGCTGAGAAAAATTAGGAGAAACAGAAAGCCTCCGTGGTGGAAGGTGCGAGCGCAAAAGGCTCAGACTCGTAACGAACGAGCGTGGGTCAGATTGATGGCCTCAGGCAGCCACCGCCGATTCCTAGAATATGACCGAATGCGCAAGCGCGCAATGGCGGTCAAGCGGGTATACAGGGTTGCTTATGAAGGAAAGCTGGTGAGAAACGCCAAACTCAACCCTGAAGCCTACTTTAATTATGTCCAGTCCAAGGCCACAATTAAAGGGGCGGTCGGGAACGTCCAAAACGAGGACGGAATTAGCGTCGAATCCAGTGCTGAAAAGGTGGGCATTTTGCGCCGTTATTTCGAAAGGGTTCACCAAACGGATAAAGGGGTAAACCCCCAAACCCTCTGAGAGCGGGAAATACCCACAATGGTCGAAGTCGTCGGCACCGAAGACGAAGTAAGGGCCCAACTGCAAGCGCTGAAGAGCACCAAGGCAGCGGGACCCGATGACGTCCATCCGGCCTTCCTAAAACCGCTGACTGGGGTCCTTGCACCGCTAGCAAAGTTGTTTAACAAATCCCTCCAGGAAGGGCGGCTGCCGGGAGACTGGAAGGTGGCAAAGGTTGTTCACATACACAAAGGAGGGGAGAGAAACCAGACAGCAAACTATCGGCCGGTCAGCCTAACCTCGGTACCACTAAAGATACCAGAAAGGCTACTAAGGGACAAGGTGGTGGCTCATGCTTGCCCGCCACCACCTGCTAATAGCTAGCCAGCATGTGTTTGTGGGAAGGAGATCATGTCTCACGAATTTACCGGTGTTTTAGATGAAATCACCGACAGGTTGGATAGAGGGGAAAGGGTTGAGGTCTGCCACTTGAACGTCCAAAAGGTCTTTGATTTAGTAAACCACAGGCTACTTCTCCCGAAATTTGGGACCTTCAAAATGCACCCGAAACTGCTTGCGTGGACGGAAGACTTCCTGAGAGGAAGATCTTTCCATGTTAATATAGGAGGGTTCAAATCGAGGGAAGGCAGAATAGAAAGTGGAGTTCCACAGGGGTCAGTTTAAGGCCCTCTCCTATTCCTAGTCTATGTAAACGACTTGCCGGAGAGGTTAGAGAACCCAGTATACATGTTTGCTGATGACTTGAAACTGGTAGATTCCCCCTCTAGCCAGTCCATACAAATGGATTTGAATACCCTCATACGCTGGAGTGAAGATTTGGAGCTACCGCTCAGCGTGGCCAAGTGTAGACAGCTCATACAGACTGAAGGCACAGGCTAAGTGAGGTGGACCAATACTTAGAACCCAGTTGAACTCCAAAAGCGTGGGGAAATGAGGGGCCTGGGAATTCAGGTCACTAGTAGTTTCAGGTCAGTAAAGTAATGCCCACAGGCGGCACGTAAGGCAAACAACACTCTGTACCAACTGCTGAGAACAGTTGTCTCGCGGGATCCAGAGATGTTGGTACCCCTATATAAAGTGTATGTGAGACCACACTTTGAATACTGCATCTAAGCGTAGTCACCATACCTGGAGCGGGACAAGAAGGTCCTAGAGACGTAGGTTCACGAGGTGTTTCCCTCATCTTAGGGGGCAGGATTATCCAACTCGTTTGTGTATGTTGAACTTATTCTCCCTGAAGAAGAGACGCCTTAGGGATGATTTGATTTGACTTCAAGCCTTTTAGAGCATAAACGGTATTGCTGATGCTGGTGCTCCACTGTTCACTGCCAACGACAACGTGGCACTACGTGGACACTTTGAAATTGGCAAAAGAGCGTTCCAGACTGGAAGTTCAAGCACAGTTTATAACAAACCGTGCGGTGAACAGCTGCAACAAACTCCCAGAAGCAGCGACCACAACAACGAATGTGATAAGCTTCAAGCATAAACTGGATGACTGCTGGCTGATTGTACTCCCCGATTTGGAGTGAACAGTGCAAGATGCACCATATGCCATGCGGAGAGTCCCCACGTGAAAGATAGTATAATATCTTGTTTAGATTTCCTTTGTTCTATCATCTTTCTAGTCTGTGACAAATAACTCTTAATTTCTTTCTTTTATGGAATAAATCTCTGACGTTCTTCTAGTCTTGATTTACAACTTAAACTTACCCGCCGGTAGAGCGTGCCTGGCTGGAATTTGTCGCATAGAAACCGGTTCAGGTGATGACCCTTTGTTGACTGGAGCGTACTGATATTACCGATTTACCGTTCCAACATCTCACTTGTACATCTGCCCGTCAACCAGAAACCCGAAGTCAAGGATCCAGAAATTCTCCTGCAGTCGAAGCACAGTGGGATCGCATCAGAGCTCACAAGTGCAAGTAACTGGACGCATTGGCATCAGCCGCAAGTCCTGTGTATCCGACCTAACCTGATTTGATCTTTCTTTGCTAGTGAATTGGACAACAGAGATCCTCGCTGATAGACATAGAGAAGGTATTTCTCGGATAACACTAGTCTAAACATGGAAGAACCACTGGGTAAAAGTGACCACGAAGTTCTTCGCTTTAGACTAATGGTTAGCCATCGTAGGCACGGACCTACTTTTATGCGTCTCTATAGTCGCATAAACGACATAGAATTGGTACAAGCTGCAAATACCATCAGCTGGTACCCGACGTCCCCAGAGTGCACTGTGCAGGAGAGATGGGAAGTAGTTAAACGAGGGTTAACTAGCCTCACAGACAGGTTCGAACCACCGTCATAGACCAATATGGTGGACATCCTGGATAGAGAAAGAGCTCAGAATCCGCCGACGATACTGGGATCGCTTTAAGCTTTACGGCACCCAACAAGCCCGGAGTGACTACAAGCGGGAGCGCAACAGAGGTCAAGACCCCCAAAGGCGTGCCAAATATGACTGTGAGTTTAACTCAGACCGGAGTGTCATAAAGAACCCCCAAAGTTTCTATCAGTACGTCCAAGCCAACGCACACACGGGAATTTGTAGGAGCACTTACTTTGGCCGATGGAAGCATACCTACGTGTAACTGCGATCAAAGCGAAAACCCTACTGAAGTTCTTCAAAAGCGTGTTTGGGACCCCAGATAATGTGGATAATTCAGGTTTACCAAGATCACCTTATACGTTAGAGTTATCCGAAATTGCTATCTGTGAAACAGATCTACATTAGGAATTCCAGATGATCAGGAAGTCCAAGTCAGCAGATCCAGATGGCATACATTCAGCCATAGTGCAGCAAATTGCCAGTGTGCTAGCCGGGCCGCTGACNCAGCCGCTGACCATACTTTTTAGGGAATCAGTGCAAACTGCTACGCTACCCCAGGACTGGCGTACAGCTACCGTGGTAGCATTGCACAAGGCTGGGCCGAAACACAAAGCACAAAAATACAGACCCGTTAGCCCAACGTCAGTGCTGTGTAAGTGCCCAGAGCGGCTGATCAGAAGGCAGATTTGCCTACATCTGATTAGCAATCGACTCCTGACACCGGCACAATATGGCTTTGTGCAACAGAAATCATGTCTTACGAATCTGCTTGTATTCCTAGGTGAAGTCACTCAACGAATGGATGAGGAGAAAGATGTAGAAGTCTGCTACTTAGACTTCTGTAAAGCATTTGACTATGCCAGCCATTGGTTGCTGGACTTCAAAGTTCGGAGCCTAGGCATAACGGGTGGAGCCAGGGACTGGATTGTAGCGTTTTTGAGCAACCGAACCTTCCGGGTCAAGATGGCTGACTAAATTTCTAACTATGGGATAGTTACATGTGGGGTTCCCCAGGGCTCAGTGCTAGACCCTTTACTTCTTCTAATGTTCATCAACGATCTGGCACAGGATCTTCAAAATCCGTGCTTCATGTTTGCTGATGATGTAAAAATGACAGGATTAAGCCTGCAAAGGGACCTAGAGGTAGTCCATCGATGGTCGGTCAAGTGGGACCTACCTTTGCATCTAAACAAGTGTCGGTTCTTAGCAGCAAGAGTGGGGTATGCTCGTTGGATGGAGCTCCCATGCAGCAGGTCCCGCAGTTGAGGGATCTAGGGGTTCTTATGACCAAGGATTTTAAACCATCAACCCAGTGCGTCAAGGCTGCAAATCAGGCTAGGGAGCAGCCGTTCAGATTCTGTGCCACAGTGACATGCAGACGGCCTGAGGTTTTCATCCCACTGTATAAATCAATTGTGTGCCCATACATGGGATATTGTGTGCAGGCATGGGCACCGTATTACAGGAGGGATGTATCATGTTCAGAAATAGTGCAGCGCCTAGCTACCCGAATGGTTGCTGGGCAAAAGGGGAAGAGCTATGAGCAGCGGCTGAGAGATCTTGATCTCTTTTGCTGGATCGTAGAAGAGTGAGGGGAGATCTGATGGAGACTTTTAAAATTGTAAGAGGTCTATCGGGACGCAACCCAGATGACTGGTTTACGATTTATCGTGCTCAGAACACGAGAGGTCACAGCTATAAACTCCAACAGAACAACGCCAGGTTAGAAGTACGGGCCAACTTCTTCGCACACAGGGTCATACCTATGTGGAACA